GGTCTTTCAAGGTTTTCTTTGGCGCTTTAGAGCAAAATTCGGAAGGTAGTGCGTATTTTACCAGCTGTTTTAGGAGGAACGTGTTAAACTTGATACGAATTTGTGGAGTGTTATTGAGCAATGTTCATCAGAACTGATCTTGTCGCAGAACAAGTTCACTAGGCTTGGGGTCTTGCCAAAAAAAGATCAAATTGAGGCGCTGTCAGCAAGATTTAATGTGAGAAATTTAAATGATTTTTTCAATGTATGGTTGTTAAAGTTTAATCCTTTTTGAGTTTTTTGTCTAACTGACAATTTAAACTTGTTAATTTCTTGTAAATTTAGATCTTACGTGACTGGATGACCACGAGGGCAAAGAAAACTGCAAAAATTGAGAAGCGTTTAAAAATTAAGCTTGCCGGTTATCAAGTATGATTCTTTTTCTTGTATTTTGATTTGTTTCATCCTGTATTGTCGGTTTTTTTCGTCTTTCAGTTTTTTCAGGAAGGAATCAGTGTTTAAGGTAGAAAGTAGAAATATTTTTCTTATTTAGAACATAGCTCAGAACCTCAAAAAAGCTATTAATGAAGTACGCACGGAAATTGATGCTTGTGTAAGGGAGAAAAATACTTTTACGTTACTAGAGCAACGCGAAGCTGTATCCATTAATAAAAGGCTATCAAAACTTACTGAAGAAGTTGAGCAGCAGGTCGGTTTTACTGAGCCTTTAGTTTTATTTTGGGCTTTTAGTCTCAAGATTTTGTTTTACTTATTTCTCACTTGTTTATGCTTATTGTTTTAGGAGAAACGTGAAGGAGAGCTGCAAGGTTTATATGGAAAATTGTTGCAAGATAAGTGGGAAATTGATCAGGTTTTTGTCAGAGAAAGTGCAACGATTGCTGCGCAGCCCGTTACTTACTGATTATCGGTTCATTGCGACCACTATTCTTACAAATAATTTCAGTTTTCACGTTTCATTTTGCTGGTTTTGCTAGAAGTGCGAAGAACTGTTGAATAGCTCTGGTAGAGGGCTTTTTTCCTTATCATGTTTGTTTTTTCAAGAACGTATTGCAGTTTGATTGCCAAGAGACTTGCTTTTCATTTGCGCGTTTCAGAAGGTTCTGAAAGATTTTGTATTTTGATGTTTTTAATTATTATTCTTAGATTCTTATGGAGTTTTAAATCAGATTTAGAATTAAATATGTTGGAATTATTCATTTTGTCTCAGATACGTTCTTGCGGGGGCTATTTCCAGAAGTTTGGTGTATCCAGGTTTTTATGTGTTTTACTTTTTTAGTCTTTATCGTGGTTGATCTCACTGTGTTGGAAAGCTTAGTGATATATGTTTGGTTGTTGGAATAACTCTGCAAGTTCCTTTTCAGCTCCTTATGAAATTTCTTGAATCGTGGTTAATGAAGTAGTGCTTTACTTCTACGAAATTTTTTATGCAGTTGTTCAGATAGATGACAGAGCTAAGAAAGTAATTTGTTCATGTGTTATTTTATTTGTTTGTTTTATCAATAAAAAAATATGGTAATCTAGGTGTTCTTTCGCACGATTGCTTAAGTTGCTAATCATAATGGGAATCATTCAAGTGATTCTGGTTTAGTATTAAGT